GGAGATCTGGCCATGGAGATGGTCAACGCAACCTAAGGGCTTCTGTGTTGCTCCAGGAATCCTGGTGCCAACACTTAATTAGACACTAATCTTCAAACACCAGCCTCCCTCAAATTCACAGCGGATCAGGTCACCAGCCCAGCAGCCAGCGTGAATTAACAACAGCCCCTTCTTCCCTGCCAGTCTAGGTGACAGCTGGGGACAAGCCGGGGACAGCACACAGCCTCCAACCCAGGCTGCAACCGCTAGAGGGGAGCTGGGAGCCGTACAGCATCTCTGTGCAGGGTCTACGCCAGACACAAAACATGCAAGGCTTCTGCTGGAAAAAAAAGTCAGTCCTGCCCAGGATGTTTCCAGCACATGAAACTCCCATGGGGACAAGTGACTAGCAGCCCCACGGGCAGGACGGGGGCTGCAGCTTCCCTCCATCCCGGGGCGGTGGAACACGGAGCACCAGCAGTTGGTCCATGGGCATGGGAGGAGCTGGCAGCACTCCCTTCCACAATTAACCACCTAATGAGAAGTGACCATGAGGGTGCAGCGTCACAGAGTGTGCAGGGCTCAGAGGAGGATTTTGGGATGCCCAGCCTGGCCACGCCCAAGGACACCCTCGCCTCCCATGGATTTTTTTTTTGCGCCCAGTCCAGCCGCCCACCTTGGTCTCCTCGATCTGCATGATGGTGGCCTGGCAGTCGGAAATGCTGTCATTGATGTAGTCAATGTTGGCCCCCAGCACCTCAATCTCCTCGTTCAGCTCCTGCAGCCCCTTCTGCTCCTTGGGGCTCTCTGCCTGCAGTTTCGCCCTCTTGCCCAGCAATGCTTCCTGCAGCAGAGCCAGCTCCTCGCGTTTCTGGGGGAAAAAGGGAGGGGGATTGGCACCGTTGGCATGGCTGTCCCCGTGCCCTGCACACACCACCCAGACCTCTCTGTCCCGAGCGCCACCCTCACCTTGATGAGCCGCTCCATGTCAGCCTCCAGGTTGACGATGGTCATCCTCTGCATGACGATGTCGAAGATGCGCCGCTCCAGTGACTGCCACTTGAGGCGGGCGGCTTTGCTGAAGGTCTGGCTTGTTCCCTTCTTGGGGAACTTCTTCCTACAGCCATAGGGGAGAAGAGGCACATGGGCAACTGGCCTAGAAAGCTGTGCCAACCCAAACCCCAAACCCCAAAAGGATGCCTGGGCTCTGGCTGTCCGGGAGCAGAGGAGGCATCTGTATCGTTTCTGGATTGCCCAACTTTTCCATCACCCCTTAGCAAAGAGAGGGACAAGAGATGAGCCCAGCAGGGTTTGTGTCACAGCATTTAACACTCACGGAAGGCCAGCACTGGGCTCAAGCCCAGGTGACAGTCAGTCACACACTGCCAGCACAGCCTATCACTGGGTCCGTGGTTTAACACGGGACAAACGCACAATCAGAAGCTGGCGTTCAACCTCTGCCACCAGCCAAAGGCCAGACACGGGAGTCCTGGGGTGCCTCATCACCCACCCATGCAGCCCCTGACCTGGCGGGCCGAGCCCCATTCACAGAGGACGAGGGGTCTCCCAGGAAGTTGTTGATTTTCCTGTTCCACTGGCGCACGATGCTGGAGACGGAGCGAGCACCAGACTCGGGCTCGGAGGAGGTGGTGCTGGCCGAGACCTCCGCACCCGAGTCCAGCATGGCTGGCTTCTGGCTCATCCTGCCCGCGACCCGGTCTGACATGGGCTTGGCGAGACGGCGCAGGGCTGAGACCTGCCCAGAGGAGGGGTGGAGGAGAGACTGTCAGACAGGCATCCTCAGGCCAAACTTCTCGCCATCACCCCCAGGTCCCCATAGGACCAAGAGCAGCAGCTCTGGCAACCCAAAGCCCTGGGGCCATTTGTGCCCCATGGGTTTCCCCCTTCTCCCTCATAGCCCATCCTCTGCCGCTGGGCTCAGCTGTGCTGGGAGATGAGCAATTCCTCTGCTGCCTGCAACCACCTCCCACCTGGTTCCTGAGCCACAAAAATCCTCCCACCCTTTTGGGAGACCCACTCCCAGAGCGGGCACTGTCTGGAGGCTGGGGTGTCTCTGAGCCAAGCGTTGGGGCCAGGATCCCCATGGGGGCTTGGGAGTATGTGGATGCACCCCCCCCACCTCCCTGCCCCTCACCTCCTGGGTTTTCCTCCGCAGCACTATTTCCTGCTGTCGCTTCTGAGACTCCAGAGCCCGGATCTGAAACTGCACACGAGAGAGACAGAGACACCCGTGGGGTCCTGCCCAGACACTCCAGCGATGGTCACAGTCCCGGGGCTCCCACCACCAAAAGCTTGGAGCAGTTACTTTGGCATGAAAATTCTCACTTCTGGTTTTAACAGCAAGCAGGTTTCCAGCCTTGAGGCTGACCCTGACAGCACATTGTCCCCTGAGCACGGCGGGGAGCTCACACATCTCCCACAACCTCATTGGGAGCTGCAGGAAGCCCTTGGGAGCCATTCAGCTGGGTGTGCTCTGCTGGGGCTGCGCAGCCCTGGGGAGGCCATGGGTGCAGCAGGGCCCCGAGTTTCACCAACTGATATTTCACAGGATAGAACCATAGGATGGTTTGGGTTGGAAGGGACCTTCAAGATCATCCAGTTCCACCCCCTGCCATGGGCAGAGACACCTCCCACTAGCCCAGGTTGCCCAAAGCCTCATCCAGCCTGGCCTTGAACCCCTCCAGGGATGGGGCATCCACAGCTTCTCTGGGCAACCTGGGCCACTGCCTCACCCCCCGCACAGGAAAACATTTCTTCCTCACATCTCATCTCAATCTCCCCTCTTTCAGCTTCAAACCGTTCCCCCTTGTCCTATTGCTACACTCCCTGATAAAGAAAGAGTCCCTCCCCATCTCTCCTGTAGCCCCCCTTGAGTACTGGAAGGCTGCTATAAAGTCTCCCCAGAGACCTATTTATGACCCCCTCGGAGTGTCAGAGCAGGACACACATCCCCCCAGCCAGCCCAGTTCCCCCCCTGCACGAGGACGGCCAGCGGCACACAGGCAGGCTGGGCTCTCACCTCCTGCCGGCGCTGCTCCTTCTTGAGCTGTGCGATCTCCCGATTTCTCTTCGTCTCAGCCAGCCGCCTCCGCTGCTGCTCCTCCCGCATCTGCTTCATAAGCGCAACCTGGAACAGGAAGGTACCGCATGTCGGTGCAGGCACCCTACTGTCCCAGGGCACCCACCCACCAGACAGACGGACAGACAGACATCCTGCACTTGTCACCAGGGGTGGAGAAGATCACTTCTGAGCAGGGAGCCAGACCCTGACCAGGGGATGCCCTCCCTGCCCTGGCATGTTGTAGTTTTAACCCTGGCTGGGAGCCAACTCCCCCCTCCCAGGGATAGGGGAGAGAATTAAAGGGGTCAAGGGGAAAAGGACTTGTGGGTTCAGATAAGAACTATTTAATAACTAAGCTACAATAATCTTGTAAATGGTAATGATGATAATAATTATGATAATAATAGTGATATATACAAATGAGTGATACACAGTGATACTGCTCATGATGATGATAATAACAACATGTCCAGGTACCTTTGCCTTCTTCATCTCGGCCACCTCCGCATGCAGCTTCCTCAGCTCCCGCTCGTAGCGGGACTGGTTCTTGAGCAGGCGGGCATGCTCCTTCTGGGCTGCCTGGAGCTTCTGCAGGTCCCGGTTCATCTCCTTCAGCCGCTTCTCGTAGTCTGCTTTGATCTTGTTGGCTTTCTCCTCCGTGTAGCACTCCATGGTGCCTGGGGGAGCAAGGAGAGGGCTTGTGATGGCCACACACTTTGGGCTCCTCCTGCACTGACACACCCTGTCTGGACCGTCCTGCCAGACCCCCTCCCTCACCCCATCACGGGCTGGGGTCTGGTTGGGGGCACCCACAAGAAGAGATGGGGTTGGGCTCAGCGCAGGGTGGGGCCAGTGGGTCACAGCACAGTCGCTGGGCTGAGAGGAGCTGCAGACCCAGACCTACAGCCACGCGCATGGGCGATCCCACCCTGCTGAGCCTAGGGATCAGCTACACCACTTGGTCTTTGGGGTCTTCATGTGCCCCTCAGCACCAAAGTGTCCCCAAGTGTTCCCAGATCCCATGAAGGCTAGAAGAGGCTTTGTCTCACCATCCTTTCCAGCCACCTCTCCAGCACTGGCAGGGTCAGCTCTTCAGCTGACTAGTCCTGCTCCCATGGCAAGACAAGCAAGGTCTTGGGGGTCCCAAGGTGCTCAAGCAAAGGCAGGGGGATCGCAAAGCTCTCCCAGGGCCAACACTCCACGCAGGGTTGGATGCTTTGGCTCTGAGTCTGCTGGGCAGGAGCAGGGACTAGGGCCCGACGCTGCGGGGATGGGACCCCACGGGCGAGGTGGTTCTCACTGAGGTTCTGCAGGACCCGGTCCCGCTCCAGCTGCGTGTCCCGAATCTTGTTCTGCAGCAGGATCAGCTTCTCCTCGTACTGGTGCTTGAGGGTCTGCAGGCGCCGCTGGCTGTTCTCCAGCTCATCAATCAGCTTCTGCTTGATCTCTATCTCGCAAGTCAGATCCGCCAGGTCGGCCTGGAAATTAGCCGGTGGGGGACAGTCAGGCTGGGAGGCACAGGGCAGCGCCGCTCCCCCAGTCCCACAGAGCCACAGCCCCAGAAGGGGGCAGACAGAGCCGAGAGGAACCCCATCACTGGGGAGCATCAGCACCCCAAAGAGCATTGGAGACCCCCTCCAGCAACGCTGGTGCTTTTCCCAGTCACCAGAGGAGACGTGTCTGGGGCATCCCAGCAGACTCTCCCTCCCCAGGACAAGAGCTCGCTGCCAGGAGACACCAGCAAATGTACCCCCATGCCCTGGGCTGCACACGTGGCTCCGCAACGCACCCTTCTCCTCTGCATCCGAGTCCGAGTCCACCAGGCTCTCTTCACTGCCTGAGTCCTCATCTTCATCCTCACGGCCATCCTCTTCCTCACAGCCACTCTCATCCTGTTCCTCCTCCTCCTAAGAGACCAGTGCCTAACCTCAGCTTGCAGCATGGCCTCTCTGAAGCTCTTCCCTCCTCCAGACCTGAACTCACCACACAGCCATGGGCCACAA